GGCCTCCCGGCCGCCCGCGGGGCCAACGTCACCGCCCCCCGGGACCCCGGCCGGGCCCGCTCCCTGGACGAGGAGGAGCACTACGGCGACGGTGACGGCGAGGGCGAGGAGGAGGAGGAGAACTACGCCGGCGAGTCCGAGCACCCGTCGCAGCCCGAGGGCGACGAGGAGGAGGAGGAGGAGGAGGAAGAGGAGGAGGAAGGTGAGCTGGGAGGCTCCCTGGTGGGGACAGACGCCCCTGTGGGGGCCGAAGCCCCGTGTCCGTCCGAGGACATCGAGACTGACCCCTGGGAACATTTGTAGAGCCCTTTGGCAGTCAGCCACGAATTTATACATTTTTCACTCGTGTCATGGCCTTGAAGAAACATGTTAATTTCCCAAGGCCGCAGCAAGCTGAACAAGCCCACGTTTAGGAGTTGCTACAGAAATACTGCTAAGAAGACGCTTTGTTTTTTAAGTGATGGGAGGCAGAAGTAGTCTTCCACCAGGTGGAATTACTTTGACTCCCTTTGCAGTTACGTTTTTTCCCTTCCCATGGTAGATTGTTTTTTTTAAGTTGCAAATTGCTTGAGGTCGTCTTTGTATATTTGCACGTTGCATTGGAACAAAACGGAACTCAGAATTCCCCTCATTGTGACACATCTAGATGGATCCATGTGCGGACTGAACTGCCCAGAAGCCCCATGTCAGCTTCTTGCAGCCCCAACCTTGAGCACCTCTGCAGCGTGGAGGTGTTTTATTTGCACGTTCAACTTTGCACCCCAGAGGAACAGTGTGGCCTTAGAAAACACCGATTAAGGGATCCAGCTGGTGGCGTTGTTAGATGATAACGTGTTAACCAAGGGAGAATGAGCTTGATGAGTTTGTGCTTGGTACATACTACTAGTAAATTTGCCTTCTTCTGCTAGCTCTCTAAGCAATAAAACTTGACACGCTATTATACCTGTCCTATTGATTAGTAACTCACATGCCGGTAGGCCAAAGGTCAGTTGCAGGTGGGCAGCCATCTGAAGGAGAACGATTCCTTTACCTCATAAATGACCCAGCTGAGATTCTTTTAATATCCGTGGCAGTCTCCTGTCTCCTATACATATAGAGTAGATGCCCTATTTATCAGCTTTTCTTTTCTTTGCTGATGACAGATAGTGACCCTCCCTGACAGAAAGAAACTGACTACCTGAGGTTAATGGTGGGATGAGATTTGTTATTGCCTTGATAAGATTACATTACGGAGAGCTTACACACGCACCCTGAGACTGGCCCAACTTCGTCTCCTTGACTGGGGAAATGTGAAGAAGAAAAGGGACTAGAAAAGAGAAAAACGTGTTCTAAAGCATAGTCCTTATTGCTTCACTCTAGTTTTAAAAGTAATTGCATTAATAACTTTAGTATTAAACTGGTCAAGGGATAGTTCCAGGTGTAAAAAGTTAAATGGAGCTTAGAGTAAACCTGGGTGACAGAACTATAATGCCTTAGATGCAAATTCAAATGCAGGATAGTTATTTATTCTCTCAATGTCTCCATTTCCTTATCTGTGAACTTCAGGGAGTCCGCGTGCCTTCTGGATTTTTATACACACAATTTCATGCACAGCTGCTTTTCCCTGGGGAAAGTGAGAATCCAGAACTTTAAACAATCTGAGGTGTCTGAGATCTGGATGTTTCTGAAATTTGACAAAGCCCCTCTTAACCCTCAGAGGACCAGTGTAAAAATATTAAACACCATTTATGATCCACTGGACATTTTATTTTACTTTTGAGGCATTTTACAAATAATTTCAAATGTAAGAACAAAGGGGCAGTGAAAACAACTTATTTGAAGTTTTAATAAGAATTTACATTTTATTTCCAAATTTATCCCAAATTTTTATTTAATTTTTCCTGGTTTTGAAGATTAATGGAAAAAGTACTTTTAGTGCAACTAAAAGCTCATTGGTTGTTATGCATGAGTCTGAAATGTAGCCATTTTATAAATACTGAGTCCAGATTTTAAGTACATCTTGTAATAGATTCTAGTTGTTATTATTGTTCTTTTCGCACTTTATCATAACACAATACTTTTGAAAACTAGGAAGACACATATTTTGTTGAAGAGAAGACTGCCATATTCTTTCTCCATATTTGCAAAGCCATTTTCATCGTTGATTTATAAACAATTACAATTGTTGGTCCAATGAATTTATTCATTTCTACATCTATTTTCTTTCAATTACCTTTGTATTCACATCTGGCACTTACTTGTCTGTTTACTAGCCTTATCAAGCACATTCTTGTGTATAAACCACTTTAAAAAGGACACAACCATAAAATTACTTTCGTTGCTACTTCATAACTGTAATGTTGCTACTGTTATGAATCATAGTGTAAATATCTGATATGCAGGATGGTCTTAGGTGACCCCCATGAAAGGGTCGTTCAACCCCCAAAGGGGTCGCGACCCACAGGTTGAGAACCACTGACTAAGGTATCATCTCTCATTTTGCTTATACAATGAATTTTAACATCATCATTAGCATCCAAAATTCTGCTATCTATTTCTCTATGTTCATCTTCTGTTTCATCCAATAATTGTGAAATGTTTTTCACTGTCAACTTTCTTTTCCTTGCCATTATGGACCAAAAAGAAATAAACTCTGAAATCTCAATTGTGTTCAAAGAAAGCTGAAAATAGAGGATGAGAAAGATGTATCTAAACTTCTTTTATATCTTCCTGAAAGATGATGTGATTCTTTGGACAAAGCAATAAGAAAACAAAGTATGATGTAATACCTATAATTTATTTCACAATTATGTCACCTTTCTAGGCCATTCTAACAAGTATTCCATTTTATTATTATAGTCTTTTTTTTAAAAATAGGAGTAATTGATTAGTAATACTGAAATCCATCATTATGGATGATGAAATAACAAAATGTTTCAAAATATAGGAAAAATCACCAAGATACTATGTTATATATACTCTCAATCCTTTTATACGCCTATCCCTATGCCTTTATACCTTTGGTATACCCTTATACCCTTTATTAATCTAAGATTTATAAATTTACTCTTAACCTCTCTGCCTTTAGATTTATAAAAGGAACCAACAATAGACCTACATAATAATTTCAAGAGAAATGAGTTTTATTCTATAAAATGAGGTTTATTCTATATCAATATAACTATATAGCATTTTCTCTTTTTCTTTGGAAGACCTGTAAGAAAGAAAAAAAAATCATGAGCTATCAACCGTACAAATCAATTTTCAAAAAAGAAACTAAAAAATAAAACTTGTACTGTGATGTCATATACCAACAATTAAAGCATCCTGTCCGAAATTAAAGAGAACATTCCAGGATCTGGCCAGCACAGAAAAAACAGTAGGATCATTACCAGCCTCATTGTGGATTCCAAGCTTTTATCAGCACAAAGACCCAGGAGATATTTAGGGAAGCCTCATTACACTTTTGACTCATACTAAACTCACTATTTTTTTATTTGTCATTTTAATTTGTGTGTGTAAGAAAAGCTTGCTTATAATAGTTCCTATTTTAAACTCACTATTGAACTCTCCTTTTCACCTGTTCTTTTAAAGACAGCCAATAAAGTATTTTGAGGACAACTGACTTTTCAGCTTACATACAGGACTTTCAGCTTACACACAGCATGAAATCAGTACTATCCAAGACATTAATAAAAATGTTGAACAGTACAGAGTCCTGTGACACATGACTCCTACCACATTGACACCAACCAATTAATTAGCATCAGTGGATCTTACTGTTGAAGTTATACATAAAACTTTACTGACATTGACATGCAGACCATATTTTTCCTTTTTACTCATAGATAGATAATGGGAAATTTTGATAAATACTACAGTGAAGTCCAGATACATATAATCACCCTGACTCACCATTATAGGATCCCCATAAAAAAAAGAAAGTCAGTGAATGACCTAATGACCTAATGACTTAATACTCAAAGCTGAAAGGGCCTTTGGAGATAACACGATTAAATCTCAACTTTTTTTAAAAAAATATATATTCTTATTGATTTCAGAGAGGAAGGGAGAGGGAGAGAGAAATAGAAACATCAGTGATGAGAGAGAATCATTGATTGACTGCCTCCTGCATGCCGCACACTGGGGATCGAGCTGTAATTGGGTGGCATGTGCCCTGTCTGGGAATCGAACTGCAACCTCCTAGTTCATAGGTTGATGCTCAACCACTGATTTGCCCCGGCCAGACTCAACTTAAATAATTTTCCCAAAGGAGCATAGGTACTGAATAAGAGAGCTGATTAAGTATTTAGTTTATTGAATGCTTTTTGAAAAGAGGTTATATATTTAAAAACATTTTTTTATTGATTTTAGAGAGGAAGGAAGAGGAAGAGATAGAGGCATCAGTGATGAGAGAGAATCGTTGACCAGCTGCCTCCTGCACACCCTCCACCAGGGAACTAGCCAGCAACCTGGGCATGTGCCCTGATCCGAAATCAAACCATGGCTTCCTGGTTCATAGGTCAATGCTCAACCGCTGAGCAACACAAGCCAGGCAAAAGAGGTTATATTGAAAAGTAGTCTAGTACTCATTCTCTTACCTGTGTTTTCTGTGTTCAAGATTTGGCTTTTAATTTATATCCCATAATGTGCCAGTTGAAAGTATCCAAGCATTTCAAGCAAAAATGTTAATTCAAAATTGATCATGATAGTCCAAATAATTTATTTAACAAAGTCAATATTGATTAACATATTTACATCTAGTGCTTACTGTGTATTCAAGACACTGTATTTGGTACATCTATATATATAAAAGGCTAAATGACCGGCCTACTGGCCAGTAGGTATGATGCTCACTGATCACCAGGGGGCAGACACTCAACGCAGGAGCTGCCCCCTGGTGGTCAGTGTGCTCCCACAGGGGGAGCGCTGCTCAGCCAGAAGCCAGGCGCACAGCTGGCAAGCACAGCAGTGATGGTGGGAGCCTCTCCTGCTTTTGCAGCAGTGCTAAGGAGCAGTGAGCTGAGCGGTAAGAAGCAGTGAGCAGGCAGGAGGTGAGGAACGAGGGGTCCAAACTGCAAGAGAGATGTCCGACTGCTGGCAAGCGGAAATCCCTTGAGGAGTCCTGGACTGCAAGAGGGTGCGGGCCGGGCTGAGGGGACAACGCCCCCAATCCCAACCCCATGCATGAATTTCATGTACCGGGCCTCTAGTAAGCATATT